AGGATAGGATTCAACACTGACAAGTGCAAGGTACTGCACCTGGGGAGGAAGAACCAGCACCATACCTACAGGCTGGGGAACTCCCTTCTCATCAGTACAGAGGCAGAAAAGGATCTTGGAGTCATCATTAATGCCAAGATGAACATGGGCAGGCAGTGTGGGGATGGAGTCAGGAAGGCCAGCCGCACCTTGTCATGCATCCACAGATGCATCTCAAGCAGATCCAAGGAGGTGATCCTCCCCCTCTATGCGGCACTGGTCAGGCCGCAGCTGGAGTACTGCGTCCAGTTCTGGGCGCTGCACTTCAAGAGGGATGTGGACAACATGGAGAGGGTCCAGGGGAGGGCCACTTGCATGATCAGGGGGCAGCAGGGCAGGCCCTACAAGCAGAGGCTACAGGACCTGAACCTACTCAGCCTGCACAAGAGAAGGCTGAGGGGGGATCTAGTGGCCATTTACCAACTAGTCAGAGGGGACCAGCAGGCATTGGGGGAGTCCCTGTTCCCCTGAGCACTACCAGGAGTGACTAGAAATAACAGTCACAAGCTGGCAGAGGGTAAATTCAGACTAGACATCAGGAGGGGCTACTTCACTGTCAGGGCGGCTAGGATCTGGAACCAACTTCCAAGCAAAGTGGTGCTGGCTCCTACCCTGGGGTCTTTAAGACTAGGCTTGACAATCATCTTGCTGGGGTTGTCTGACCCCAGTACTCTTTCCTGCCATGGCAGGGGGTCAGACTTGATGGTCTGGTCAGGTCCCTTCCAACCCTACTAACTAAGAAACTATGAAAATCTGAATCCAGCCTACAGCATTCAAAGACAGGAGGCAAAGTAAGACCTGCCTTTAATCTTCCTAACATAAAGGAGAAGCTATATACCTGTATATTAATGGGAAGAAAACAAGTAATCTTTCTGAATAAATAATGATTATACCTCTTTGAGCTAACTGTAAATGTACATGAATGCAATCTATACATACACAAGTATGCAGAGTGCAACACAATGTCTATCTGTCCTTTATATAGTTATTACTGCTGTACATAAAATCACTTGGCGATAATAAAATTCCATGAAAAATACTAGAGCACTTGAAAACTTTTTAGGTGAGTCTAACAAAGGAAAAACAAGGAAAAATAAAAGCAGTTTAAACAAAAATGCTAGCATGGAATCTTTAATTAAAAACGCAGGGATCAGAAATCTAAAAGCATTAATGCAAATCTGTCTTAAACTCAGTGTACTAACCTTGAGAGTTATATCATATGCCTTCATCGCACCAGGACAAGAATCGATTCAAGGGAAAAGAAGAGAAATGATTTCAGTGGATATTTCTTTTTAAGCTAGTTTCACTTGCATCTTTAATCATTTCCACACTGTGGCCAACTCTGTTTGTGCTACTGAACTATCAACCACAATTTCATATAATGTATGTATGAATGTATATGGAACTCAGGCCCTGGAGTTACTGTAACTTCTCAGCAAGATGCCTATCTTGACCATAACGTATCACCCAAGAAGATTTGCTGATTTACAAAGCCCATAAGACAAACTAGCTTGAGAAGCCAGTTCAGCAGGGAGACTATTCTCACCCACCTGCAACCACTGCTGCTGCTTCAGTTCAGTCATGTAGGCCCTGTCACTCTCTGACAAGCTTCCAGCTGGTTGCCTTACAACCAGAACAGTGTTGCTGCACATGTGCTTTAGGCAGTCATGCTGTCATTCTTTATTATTTAATTAAAAAAAAAAGAAAAAAGAAGAAATAAGAAAAATGACCAAAATAGAAAGTTATCCAATTTGGGAACTTTTCTTTTCTGACTGACAAATAAAATGTCTGTATAAATATGAGCCACATGCTGTGACATACTTTGTGACTGGATATGACCCGCAGAGGAGTGAATGTCTGCTGATATCTGTACAGCTGGAGAGAGAAATATGCTTCCTTCCAGTGATGACAGAGTAATAGAGGTGTGTGTGCATGTGTATCAATGAGAGTGAATGAGAGAAAGAGAATGGAGAAAAGAAGTGAAAGCAGGTGGTTATGAGAGTACACAAGTGGCTAATAAAACCATGGTTTTTACTAGTCACAGTGGTTAAACAATTTTAACGGGCAGCATTCTCATAACATGCCTGAACAATTTTTAAGGCTATAGAACACCTCTCTCAGGAGTGAGGAAGTTCATGAAATGTGCTTAGAGATGCACCCAAACTCAGACAAAGATCTGATAATATATAAATTAGTCTCTTCCAGAGATATCTCACATTCTGAACAAATTGATAATCTATCCATGTCTATCATTTACCATAAAAGCTAAATCACAATGGCATCCTAGTTTGCATGTCTAATGGGAAAGAAATTTGCACCTCAAGGGGATTGCAAAGTTCTATGAGACTGAACTTAGTGCCACCAAAAACAAGTAATATCCTCTTTTGAAACTGTGGTTCAGTGTGAAAAATCAGCATTAACTGTTTATTTACAGAGTGGGTTATTATATACACTCTTTCAAAATCTTCTGGAGAAAGGACTGAGGAGTATATTGCTGACCAGAAAGGCTAGGTAAAACCAAAAGTTAATTGCTGATTTCTAGCACCTGAAAAATCCATGGAGGTTGTTGCATTTGTGTAATACTGGGTTACCACATAGTCACAAAAAGCAGCTAATGAAAATGCAATAAATATGGGCCAGTCATCAAACTTTTAACAAAAACAGTTCACTCTTGCAAGGGAGAATTAACAGAATATTTCAGTGAGGCTGACTGCAAAACAATAAAAAGTGTTAGCCAAAGATTGATGTAAAAAACACCCTCAAATTTCCTTCAGTTAAAGGGTAGTATTCAGGTACTGAATAAACTGAAGGGGGGATATTGTTTTGTTTTTGTTTTTTTCTTGAATACTGTTCTCCATCATTTTTTGGAGAGGACTCCTGCAAGCAATGATTTAAAAAACAAACTGCCACACAGACACACACCGACACACAAACACACCGCGACACAGAGTTTGCAACTCTCATCTTTTAAACAATGTTGCTAAATTTCTGTGACTGCAAATCTGAATGTCACCCAGTATACACAGTTCTCCTCTGTGCTAAATCCATCATCCCCCTGACACCTTCAGACACATCTGATATGTGCATCTAACCAGCAACACTATAATTTTAATAATGACAAGGGATTAAATATGATTACTAGTCTTTCCTCTTGCTTGTTTTTCTTTGTCTAAAAATATCACCCAATAGCCATTTTGCTTATATGCTTGTATTTTTCTTTTTTTCATTGTCTGTTGTACTCAATACACGAACTGAAATTTCCACAACATCATATCTGTCTTGTGTACGTCTAGCAGTCTTGAAAACCTGTCTTTACAGCTCTGCGATACTCAATACATTGTCAGTTCTGAGGACACGGTTGTAAAAATAAACATATATACAGTTCAGTCAGAAATAATTTCAGGCATACCAGGGGCTTATTTTGTCAGCGTGTTTTATACACCAGAAAGGGTTACTTTGTAGACTGTACTGCCCAAAAAGAAAACAAAAATGACTTTGGCATATTTCACCAAACTGTTTGAACCCTGGGACCAAATTCTCTTCCTTGAATCAAAATGCTATCGGTCAACTTGAAAATGAATTGGCTTTTCCTGTGTTCTGAACTGCTGACTGTTGAAAGACAGGTGTTTAGCTATTAGAGGCTTTTCCTGCTCTCCCCTGCCATCACCAAAAGAAAAAGAAAGAAAGGGGAAAAACTAAGCAAAGAAAGGCATCCATCCGCCTCACAGAAAACATAGTGGGTCAAGCCAGCAAAGGTGTGTCTTATAATGGCCACAGGTAGGTTAGAAAAATATAAACACCTCATTTGCTTCCAGGTTTTTGAAAGGGTTCACTCTCCATCAATGTAAGGGAAATGTGTGTGCGTGCGCATCAATGTAAGGAAAACTCTGTGTGTGTGTGTGTGTGTGTGTGTCCATCAATGTAAGGAAAACTGTGTCAATGTAAGGAAAACTGTGTGTACACATGTCTCCATCAATGTAAGGAAAACAGTGTGTTAATGTAAAGAAAACTATTTTCTGTGGGTGTGTTCATTAATATAAG